CGATTCAGAGCACATCTGGTCACCTGGAGAGCACAAATATTTGCAAATATCTGAGATATTTGAAAAAATGTCTTACATGAAACAGAAACGGCAGTACTCCAAAGAACAACGGCAATTTTAGGTTTTCTTTTGAGAGTAACACCCTAGCAATTGCCAAAGGATTCGTGAATAGACGTCGCAAATTGCGCAATAATGCAAACACGGCACTTATACCCGCTCCTATCGTGAAATTTTTTACAAAACTCTGAAAACAAAAAAAAGAGATACATTGCTCCATTAAGAAATTAGTGATCTACCTCTATGGCAGCACTAGCGCAAGAATATTTATGTTCACATTTGGCAGTTCTGGCATAATCGTGACGTAATTTCTGCAACATTGCGTGAAAGTCATCCGGTAGCCTTTTTCCGTCCAAAATGTCTTCTTCAGAGGTAATACAGTGGGAGAAACTGTAAATGTGTACGGATGAGTTGAATTTTCATCAGATAATTGTTGTTTTCAATCCAAAACCTTCCACTTAGTGGTACTTCGAGGCAAAGCTAGATAGTGAATCTCATATTTCAAAAATATTGAGGGAAAGCAAATCAGATAGCAAAGTAGCTCGTCAAAATGGCTAGACTTTGACATTTAGGCAAAAGTCTTTTCCTGTATGCATAAAAAATAATCATAGATCACTTTGCATAGCACATTTAATCTGTGAAGACCAGTTCTTGCAAAGGTTCTCACTTCAGCGCTTTTTGCACTGTGGCGTCAAGTTTCCCTCGAGCTCGAAGAATCATGAAAATTCCAATTCCGACGGCAAATGGGATGCATTCACCGTATTTCACTTTGAATAAGTATCCATGATTATATAGCTGTCGATAGAGCGTTTCTGATGCCTAATAAACTGAGATAAGCTCCAAGAAACTTATAATTATATTCATTTACCAGATTAGTTGTGTATAAGGCCAAAGCTGGCCTTCTGGACTGCTTTTCGATAAGAATTGCGCAAAGACTTGCCAATTGACTTGTCAGAAGACCCATCGTTGGGATTGTGAAAAATCCTAATAAATGCCTGAAAATCTACAATTTCTACAAAAAAAAGTCCTAAATCGCTCATAGCCCACCTCGCTCGACAGATAAAGTACTGGAATAGTAATAGATTCGCCGTCAGAAACACTGATGACCTCATCACATCGAAGAAGAACTTTTTCCATTCAACTTTTTTTAGATTCCCTCTTTTACTTATCAAAGTAGTCAACTGAAAACATTCTTAAAGGTTAGTTGGACAAAAATCAGACCAATTCTGTTGTGTTGTTCGCTTCGCTTATAATCTTTGAGCTCTACCTACGCCTGCGCAATAAGTGCACATTAAGCGTGCAAAAGGGCGCTCACACTTCAATAATTTCTAGAATTTTTGGTGCGTGATTCTGCTTTTTGATTGAGAGTTCAAG